GGTAATTCAAGTAAGATGATCAAGCTCCATACAAAAATTCAGAGGCTTAACATGATAGTTACAAACATAGAAAATTTATGTACTTCTTAAATTATTTATACACTTATTTTGCACATTCATATTTGTCATTATGTATATCTATCTATATACATGTTTACAAGAAAAAACTCTAATTCAAACATTAGATTCATAATTTATTATTAAAACAATATGAAAACTTTAGAGACCTTTCTACAACTACATCTTAAAAAGTCAACAATACATTTCACTTCATAATTTAACATGCACTCCCCATTGTTATTTTTGTCATAACTTTTGAAACATTAAGAACATAAGATATACTATTTTAATTTCACAGTTGTTTGGATTGAACATATGATATACTATTTCACGTAATAGTTACATATTCAAGTATGGCCCAAAAATTAAACTAAAAAAAAAAAATTGGCCCAAATTAAACTAAATCAAAAATTGACAATGGAAACTTAGAAATTGGCAAACAAAATATTTAAATCTATGGTCTATTAAAGATTGGTTTTATACTCCATCGTTTTGTTCTTAACTCTACACTTGATTCAAAAATAGTTGTCAATAACGTGCTAAAGTGACACTACCGCAGCATCACGTCGTGAGGCAGAGCTCGCGGCCAGAACAGGAGTAGTTCGCAGCCAAAACTGGAGCATTTTGTCTGCCCTATTGTGCGATATTGGACATTTTGATTAAATTTAATGTAGAAAGGTCCTTTACTATCCTTTATGAAACGTTTATATCAAATTAACTTCATCTTCTCTACACGCTTTTCTTTGCACTGCAATAAAAGTCAAGGCCTTAACAAAATAGTTTATCCCCTCCTCACTAGCTTATTCATTTAATTTTGCTACCAAAATCAGCTTTTTTGGGTTCTCTCCTATTTTTTTCGTTCACTAATCACTTTTGCTTCAAGCTCTATTTCTTTTTGTTCATCCTCTGCTTTGTTGTTCAAGCTTTGTTCTTCTATTCATAATCTACTCTTTTTTGTTCACACTCTCTTTTGTTATTCATGATTTCATGCCCTATTTTGCTCAAAAAGATTAAGTTCTATTTTTCTGTTCATCCTCTGCTTTCTTGTTTAAGCTTTGTTTTTCTATTCATCCTCTAATTTGTTGTTCATGGTTTGATTTTTTGTTCACACTCTCCTTTTTTGTTCACGATTTCATGCCTTCTTTTGCAGAAAGAGATAAAGCTTGTTTTTCCTATTCACAATCTTACTTGGAAAGAAAATAATCCATGCTCTCTTTGTTATTCCAAATTTCTAGTCTCCTTCCATGGCATCTTCCCAATAAAGATAAAAGTAAGGAGCTTATGTAATTGTTGCTTGTAGCTTGGTGAAGCACACCAAAGAAAATATTGACATTGCTTGACAATGAAATAGCCTTAAAGATATTAACAACAAAAATAGGGTTACTTATTACTTTTGTTTAAAAACCACAACGGGTGGGATTACAAGAGCAAAAAGACATCAAATGGGGAATAAGGGGAGATGTGGGTTTTGATAAGTCCGTATTTTGACATATTTTTGTAGCCTATATATTGATGAATGATCATTATTTTGCTTGGGTTTTGCATTAATTTTTATGATTATTGTATAGATTAATATGAGAAAGTCAAAGTTGGGTTTTGGGTGCATTTTGGCCCTAAATTAATTTGAAAATGGGGCTTCGCTATAGTCAGCATACCCAAAGCCCAGCAGCCAACACGGGAGTGCTTTGACCACATGCATGGACATACTTGTGACCTTGCATGACCGTGCTCATTTACGAGAAGTCCAACTTAAATAAATTTTAAAATTTTCAAACCCTATTAAAAGAGACCTTGGGGGTAACGACTGATCATCTTGTTTTTCATCTCATCTATTCCTCGTCTTTTTCACAATCCTGCTCTTGATCATTGGCACATTCTTACCAGAACTTGGAGCTTTGAGCAATTGTCTCTAAGATTGAGAACTCTTCTTATCCCTAATCCTTGAGATAATTTAGTTTGCTATTTCCTTTCGACTATGAATTTGTTTATGATTGTTTTAATTATTTTGATTAGCATAAGTAACTAAGTCCATACCTAGATTTATGGGAACTCTTGTTCATAAATTTATGTGATTTTGATGTTTAAATCTAAATTTAATTTTTGTCAATGATTAGTGTTTGTCCTATTGTGCATAAGTATATGTTGTAAATTTTTCATTTGTAATATAACCCTAATTAATTATATCGTTGGCGACCATATCACGATTAGTTAATAGATGTTTAGGATAAAACGAGACAAAGGATTAGGTGGACCAAACCAATCTTTATTTTCCAATTGTTACTAAATTAACAAGTTCATAGATGTTTTATCCTTTATTTAATTGATATCTTACATGACCATTGGGTATTAATAGTATTTATATGAATGATTCGTAATCACTATAAAATCAGATTTAAAGTTAAATAGAAAAGTAACATAAAGGATTAAATGAGTAAACTCATATGCCCTAGGTTCCTCTCCTATAAGTTCAGTCAAGAAGTTTATTATGTTACTTGGTCTAATTTTCATCCATAATTGATTTGTTAGTTGAGTCCTTCCTTAATTTCACATCCTTTAAACTCAAACAATTAGATTAAAATTTTTTTGGTAATTGACCTTATTCAGGCTGAAAAAAGACCTACAAATAAATCAATTAGTATTGGTTTTGTTGTGAAGAAAGGGAGAAATTTAAAAAGTCCTTTGGATTTGCTACTCATGAAGAAGCTAGATGTGACACTCAGGCACTAGGCGAGGACGGGGAGTGATCGTCGGTGCATTATAGCATGGACAATGAGCGGCTCCTGGCAGGCTTCCGATGGTAAGGGGCATATGAATGAATCAAAATTACATCGGAATGAGAAGGGAATCCAGAGACTGTATATACAATTAAGGATAACTTAAAGGAATTGATTAGGGCTACCTATACCAACAAAATGCATTTACTTTTCAATGGCTTATCACTTAAGAACTCCAAAGTTAAGCATGCTTAACTTAGAAAAATTATGGGATGGGTGACCTTCTGGGAAGTTCCCGAGAAGTGTGCGAGTAAGGACAAAACATACTAAAAAGTCTCGTGTTAGTTTGTGGAGACAATCAGCAATCCCGAATAAGTTGTGAGGTTGTTACAAATGAAAGTTCCTTTATTGAAAAAAGAATTAGAACTAACAAAGGAGATGATGAAACCTTAGGAGGTAAAATGATTGAACTTTAGATGCTCTATTATGTTGGATGAATGGACAAATAGGAAGAATAAGACATTGATTAATTTTTTGGTAAATTTTTCACATGGCAATGTTTGTAAAGAGTGTTGATGCTTTTTCATTTGAGAAAACTAAAAAAATTTGTTTGAGTTGTTAAATTCTTTATAGATGAGATGAGCGAGGAAAACATTGTCCAAATAATGACTAACAATGGTAGTAACTATGTTTTGGTTGGTAAAAACTGGAACTTAAGTTTTTAAGTATTATACACTACAAATATTTATTTTTATTATTATTATCAAATAAATTCTTAAAATCTTGTAATAAGTAAATATTTACAAGTGAGGAGACCATACCTATTTTGGATTTCTTGTATAACTCATTGTTTAGGTTTGGAGGATATTAGGAAGATTCCTAAAGTCAAAAGGACTATTCAAAGGGGTTGTTTTCTTGTAGGATTCATATATAACCACTCCTTGACTTTGAACTTGATAAGAAAGTTCACAAAAAAATGAAATTAGTTAGGCATAAAGTAAGAAGACAACAGACATTGTATTGTTTCATACATTTTAGAATGAAGTCTTGTACACTCTTAAGGTGATGGAACCTCTTATATGTGTACTATAGCTTGTAAACAATGAAAAAAGGTCAGCAATAAATAGAATATATATATATATAGAGAGAGAGAGGGGGGGGGGCTAAGAAATCTATTGAAAGAACCTTTAATAAAAATGAAAAGAAGTATAAGTATGTACTTGAGATCATTGATAAAAGGTGAGAATGTCAATTCATCACCTACTTCATGTTGCAAGTCATTTCATAAATCTCAAATTATACTATTGCAATTCAAGTATTGTGTTTGATCCTGAAGTGACACATGAACTCATTCTCTTTGCCGATTCTTCACGCACTTGCTCTTGAATTAAAAGAAATTTCTCCTTATTTTTCACAATGCTTAGTTTAGGTCGACTAGCCAGACCCCGATAAGAGAGATTGAGTAACTCTAAAGAAAAGATGGATAAATTACAATTGCATTGGTCACCTACAAAGAGCTAATGAGATCTTTGGTTTGATTGCATTTATAAGATAAAGACATACTTTAGCTCCTAGTTAGTTTAAATAAAAGAGTTTGATTTCTTTTAAATGTTGTTTTTTGTTTTTTAATTAAATAATAGCAATTATTTTAATTGTATAACAGGTGGAAGAATTATAAAAATGAAATATTACTCATTAATCTATTGAGTTTAGCTCATCAGAATATGAAAAAAATTGAAATATTTTTAAACATGTAAATAATTAAGTTTTAATTAATAATTTTTTTATAGTTATATTAATTAGTTGAGAAAAGATATTAACATTTTCTTAATTAATAATTAGATTCACTCTAAAAAAGCAAATTAAAAAGTCAGAAGTTGCAAAATTTAGTTTATATAAAGTATAATCAAAATATGCTAAATTGTTATAACAATTCTAACGAGACTAATCTTATTATTTTAAATAATATTGATAATTGCAATGAGCGATTGATTGAAAAAATGAGAGAAAAAAATAAATAATGTTAAAGATAAATTAATCTTTGATATTGATAATTTAACTTAAAAGAGTTATTGCGAGGGTTGATGAGTCTCAACTTACATTAGACAATAAACAATATAGAAGAAAAAAATTGTTATTTTTAAATAACGGTCGTAACCTGATTTACTAATAGCATTTTAGGAATCAACCTTGCGGCTATCCGAAATTAAAGACTTGATTCAAAACTTTGGTTTGATTTATTGTATTTCCTTTCCCACACCTATAACCTGATTTAACAGAATAAACAGCCTTTAAATCATATCATGAAGATTGCATGTACAACAAGTTTAGATCTTTAGTTATTTCAACTAATTAAAACTCTCAATTAAAGAAATATTTCAACAAGCATATCTATAAACAATTTCATCTTTCCGTCTCTCTGCTTTCAATTCCCTCCCCTCACTTACAATACGGTCCATTTCAACTGCCGCATTAACATTGAACTCTACAATTTTGTCAACCATCACAACACTTTTCATAGCTACATACATTTTTATACAACCAAAGGTCACACATTCACACCCCATAAACAATACACAAAATCCAAACCCTTCTGCAAAATTAAACAAAAAATAAGAAAACCACAAAAAAAAGGCATAAATGAAAAACTCAAATTCAATGGAGTGGAGTATGGAATTGGCGTAACAAGTTGTGAATATTAGCAACAATGGCTAAGCTGTTACTGGTGTACTCACTGCACCTTTGCATCGATTTTTTCATATACGCAAGAGCTGCCACGTCACCCACCTCTTCCAACCCGTCAAGGCATGTTTGCTGATCCGTCATGGACGCGCTCACCAACGTTTGGACGTCGGCGATCTTTGCCTCCGTCAGCGGCGGCGCCGCCATCGTCGAAAGCGAGTCGTTGAGTCGACTCAGCGCGTCGTCCATCAGGTCTTTGCAATCGGCGAGCGCGTGTCCCTTGGTTCCAAGCGAAGAAGCGAGCGTGGAGAGCGCGTGGAGGGAGGCGCGTAGAGAGAGGGCGAGGATGGCTTCTGGGTCGGTGGCGTTGGCGGAGGGTGAGATGGCGGCGAGGCAGGAGGCGGGGTAGCGAGTCACGTTGCAAACAACTCGGATTGAGTCGGCCGAGTTGAGATGATGTTGGTTTGACTCGGTGCTGGTGTGGTGGACAAGTGAAACGAAGGCGAATGCGACGGTGAGAGTGAGGAAGAGGACGGCGAAGATGGAAAAGGTGGCGATGAAGGGTTTTGAGGATTTGGGGTTACGATGTTGTTGTTGGTCTTCGAGGTGGCTTTGATCGTGTTGTACTTTGCCGTACCCTTTGATCATCTTCAGAGAATCCATGTCTCTCTGATTTTGCTTTTTTCCCCTTTCTGGTTTGGGGTTCAATGGATTCGCAAATGGGAGCATCTTTATTTCAACCAAAATCAAACCAATTGCTAGGGTAATAGCTTAGTCAACACGGTATCCCTTCCCCCACATAAAAATGATCATTAGTAAAACACTTTTTGAAAACAGTAGATTTTTTACATAAATAAAATAAAAAGAATAAGATATTACGTATATATAATAGAATAAAAAATTTACAATTTTTTTTAATTTAAATTAAATAAAAATTGATTAAAATTATTTTTAATTTAATATATCTAAATTTTTTATGGCAGCACAACAAAGTCGATTAGACTATGATCAATATATCTATAATTTATATAATTTTTTTTTGAATTTTTTACTCAAATTAAAAAAATATAATTTAATTAAATTTATTAATATTTTTAATAATAATTTTATAAACTATTAAATAACATCAATATAAAAAAAATATTTTAAAAGACATAAAATTTAAATTTTAAACTACATAAATTTTAAATTCTAAAGTATATGAAATTTAAATTTTAAATACATAAAATTAAAATTCTTACACCACTACCATCATAGTTAGTTCAAGTTGGAAGTAGTTTGATATTGTTAAATCAACTTTTTAGTATGCACAAATTTTAAAATATTAAAAAAAATTGACTTTTATTGAAACTCTATGTAAAAATTACAAGAAAATAAGTTAAAATTAATTTCTATTAAAATATAATTAAAATATATATGTAAACAAATTCATAAAAATGACATTTACATAATATTAGTCTTTAATTTATTTATTTATGTCAAAAACTCAAAGAGATTAAATTATTTATTTGTAATTATTTTAAGATAATTTTTAATATTTATACGTAAAATAATCCATCATCGTTAATATATTAAATATATGCCATAGAAAATGAGGTAGCAGTCCATTTTAAAAATATATAAATTTTATTTAATTTTTAAGATATTAAAATAATTATAATCTATAGATATAAAAAAAAAGTATAATATGTCTTTTTAAAACACAATAATAAATACCTTATTTTAAATTCATGCTCTCTGGATGCTTTATTTGATAGAAGTGGAGACAAACTAAGGAGATGCAGAAAGAAATGAGAAAAAATAAAATAAAAATAATTTTTTTAAATTAAATTAAAAATATTATTATCTGGTTTGCTTTTTTCAACCCAAAACAAAGCAGGTGAAGTCGAGAAAGAAAATAAACCGGGCTTTTTTAGAGCTGTGATTTCAAAATCAAGTGTCCGGGTCTGCTAATTGTTTTTAATAAAATAAAGTTTATGTATTCTAAAATTCGCAATTTATGACTTTGACTTAATACAAGCTCAGTTCCCTCAATGTTTGATTTACTCATTGTTTATTGGGTGAGAAAAATGAAAGAAAATTACTATATCGATTCGATTATTGAAATCGCTCAAAATACTTTTTTCTTTAATTTTTAAAATTTATTTCTCAGTATTATTAGATCTGTTCTACCTAAAATAGGAATGGACTAGATTTATCAGCTTTTAATTTGAGATTAAGTCCATTGCATGATTATAAGTTCATTGAGGAACAGAAAAATTATAAAATAAAAAATAATAATATCTTCTGATTATATGATTATATAAGTTTATTTCTTATAATATCTAATTCTCTTAAATTTTGCTTTATTTTTTATTTTTTCTTTAATTATAAAATAAAATTAGTAATTCCCTCTGAATTTTATTTTTCTTCGTTCTGATAATAACTTTAGTATTTTTTTTTCAGGAAAAAAACTGTTAATATTCATCCAATGACCAAATAAGATAGAATTGTTACTGTTTTGTGGTTTTAGAATAATAGTGTATAATGATCAAAATATCATAATAATACTATGTTTAAATTAATGTTTATAAATTTATTTTTAAATTAGCTTAATTTTATAGAAATTATTTTATTTAAAATGCAAGCAGTGAAGTGATTATTATGTTTAGAAAATCTCAAAACTAAGTTTATAGTACATTTTAACATAATTTTTAATATGTGCATGTTCTAGTGCTTTATTTTGAGAATAATAATATTCTTTTTAAGTGACCCAATTATGTATAGTCCCATTTATTTTGTTTATATACATTTTAATTTGGAAATACATTTCACTTTTACAAAATAGTTTTTAAGGTTTGTTTCTGAACCAAAGAATTATAAGTATTGTGAAGAATTATAAATAGAAATTTGGATTTGTAGACTTATGAAGCATATATTATTCTCCTTTTGTTCTTTTATATATATTGATCTCCTCTCATAATAAATTCTTTGATTCTTTATTAAGATATTAGTCATGGCTTCCTTTTATTCAGCAATTATTGAGGTTGCTGCATCAGAAACTATTTAATTTTTTCTTTTTTTACTGGATACTCTATTTGTTCTTTCTAAGAATTTTCTGCTTTTTTCCATCAACTTTTTGTCAATCTCTTTGAATATATTTTTATTTCTTTTTAAAGTTATTTACTTTTCTTTTCCTATTTTACCCTTACTTTATTAGGTGGTTGCAACAAGATTGACATCATTAATTTAAAACTTGATTTTTTTGGAATTTTTTACAGAAATAATATAAAAAAATAAAAATAAAATACTGAAATGGACTTCTGCTACAAATATTTACCAAATTGAACCTTTTTACTATTGAGGTACAGAATTCATGTATCCGGATACTGAATTTTGACCTTTTATTTCATGTGTCTAAGATAAATTTGTTGATGGAATTCAGTTTTGAGGCAACCAAATTTTGAACAGAATTTTAATTTTTTTTGTTTTTATATAATAAAAAATATTATGTAATATTTTATGTTTATATAATTATATATTCTCAAATATAATAATAAAAAGATTGTTTTAAATAATAAAATAAATTATATTATTTGAATTATACTTTTATTTTTATATTATATGAAAATAAATATTTATATTATGTTAATTTGTGTGAAGTAATAATTATATATTTATATTATGTGAAATAATAAAGAATATTATATTGAATATGTATTTAAATTTAAAAAAAAATTGTATATCAACAATAAAGAATATTTAGGTATATATTTATTTGAATATGTAAATGATAAAATATTTTTGAATCAGTATTTTATTAAATTAAAAAATTGTATATAAGATGAATAAAAATAATAAAGAATATGATGTAGAAATTTAAAAGTATATTTAAAAGAAATTATAATTTATTAAATATTTAATAATAAAAATAACATGTAAAACAATATTAATAACAACATTCATTAGTGATTTTCAGTATCACTATCTCCATAACGATATCCAGTTCCACAACGAGGATAACATCTATTACGTGTTGGGTTTCGTTGTTGTAGAAATTCAGGATGAACTTGTGGAAGATTATCAACTTGTTGGAATGTAGCTGAAGAACTACCAAGTTCATTAAAAAAATCTGGTTAATAAAGAGACTGCATGTAACTTTATGCTAAAGATGAAGTTGTAAAATAACTCTAAATAAGTTTGTAAAAAAATCCTCTGAAGTTATTGCAAACGAATGTCTTATGTCCATTATATTTGCATTTGTTGTGATATCCAGTGGAGGAATTGATGCAGTCTCGTGATACAACGATGTAGAAGTCGTACTAGTGGCAAATGTTGTGGTAGTGTTTAACTGTTGGTAGCTCTTCCTTGGATCTTGTAGTAGTGGTGGCACAGATAGAAAATAGATGAAATTGGCAATGTATCATTCCATGTAATCTCCTGTGTGACACAATGGACCTGACATTAGATGACCCGTTAATGTTAGGTCACGTCTATTGTTCCACACATCGATCCATCGAGCATGTCTTGTGATCCAATTTTCATTTTGTCTTCCTCTCATGTCAATTGTGTGGAGATCATGCAAATTATTGGGTGGACAAGAGACTTCTTGTAAGAGCCAAAACTGTAATTTCACTCTATCTGATTGGTGTCATTCAACAATTGCAAAACAAAGGATAGCAGTACATGAAGTTCACATTTGGACATCTCTGTAAGCTTCCATAGGGATTGATGTTTGCAATTGTTGATATGGTGCCTATAAAAACTACAAATAAAATTAACTTTGTTAAATAAGATAATATATAAAACAAAATAAAACAAGAAAAAAATTAAAATTTTATTTATGAAGATTTACCTGATTAAGTTGAATGTGGTTAAACATTGATCTGTACCCTACAACATCATTATGAGGTTTATTCCGAAAGTTAAGGACTTTACCTCCGCTCCATCTGCACACCAGAGGATATGTTGGTGGATTGTTGGAAATTGGCGCAATATATGGCATGCGATACCATATCCAAGACATTAACAGTGATGCACAACCACTCATTGTTTTACTCTCGACTTTTGTGGCCTTGCACATTTCCCTATACAACATAGCTAAATAAGAAGACCCCCAACTATATCTTCTAGTTCTTCTAAGATTAGTTAATGAAGCTAAATACATAAGATGAACTTTGTTGCCTATTTTGTCAGGCATCAAAACACCTCTAATCAAACCCAATATATATGCTCCAACATGAGTGTGAACCTGTTGTTCAGATGGTTCATCTGGTAATAGTAACATGTTATCTCTCAGCCACTTCAATTTTACCATAGAGCCAGTAAGTGTCTCTCTTTTGACTGACACGATACCGAGATATAAGTCACACATATCCTACCAGTCAAATATTGTTGGAGCAATGACTGGTAATTCATCAATTTGGTAAATATTTGTAACAGATTGGTTGAGTACTTCACCACACAAGAAGGTTGAAGATCAAGTTAACAACGACATTGAACAACATCCTGCTAAATCTTTTACATAGATTGAGATTACTTCCTTTAAGTTCTTTCTACAAAATCTGAATGACCCTTTGATAAATTAATATCAATGAAAACTTATTATGAAAAAACTAAAGTTTAAATTTGTTTAAATTCTACAAATTTATTATTAAAAGAATTAACCTTTTAAATTAATAATATAAACTTTGAAGCATCTCTTTGAAAAATTATATTTTTAATTCAAAACTTGCCTATACAATCAAAGCAAACATGACTTTACATAATTGGTCTACATAAAGAAGACATCGTTGCTCCCTTAAAAGTAAAAACACAAGAGAAAGTATATTTTTAATATAGAATTAAATTTATATTTTTAACATAAATTTCGCTTCAAGACCAAATTTTATTTAAATGATTTTTATTTTAAATATCATATTTTAATCAAAATTCTAATTTCTTTTTTATTTTGGTCAAGTAATCAAAACTTTATTTGAGTGCACCTTGAAGGTGTTAAAGGAGTTTAATAAAAATAAAAGGTGTGAACGTCAATGTTAATTAAAATTTAAAAAAAAATTATATTTGTTAGTAAAAATACATGTTCAAAATTAATATGTAACTGAGATCAATTTAAATACACATTTCAATTTTATTTAACTATTAAAAATTAAGGGTTTGTGTGATTTGGTTTTAATTTTAGTTTTTAAAAATTAAAATTATTTTTAGAAAAAAATTAATATTTTTTGGTAATTTAGTTTTTAAAACTATTTTTAGTTGAACTTTCATTATTTTTAGGAGAAAAAAACAGAAAAATGAAAACAAAAATACCTTAGTAGTAATTTTTTTTTTCAGTTTTACAAACTGAAAATAAAAAATTATTTTTAAAATTTACACTAATAAACAAATTTTTTTATTTTTTATTTTTAAAAACAGAAAACTATATTTTTTTGAAAAATAAGCCCTAGATTTCATAAATTTTGAACTAAACATGCATGTACTATGATGAGTCAATCCGATTAAATTGATCTGAATAAATCCACTAAAAATAAAGGATTTGAACTTTAGAATTTAAACTTAGAATAAAATTCTTTTAACTGGGCCTATTCAAACTCACAACTGAAACGGGTTTAGTATAGGCTAGCCCGATCAAATTTGGACTATCCGTTAATTTATAAAATTTCTAATATCTTAAAAGTTAAAACTAAAGTTACTAAAGTGACTGCGATAATGTGATATTATATTACTAACACCGGTGATTGATATGATTTTTACTCTCTCACAAGCACGAGCTCATTGTATCAGTCAAAAACTCACCACTAATTTTTAATTTTTTAAAATTGTTCACACTCTGTATCTCACTTTCTTCTTGAGTAAATTATCAATTTAATTTCTATTATTTTTAAAATTTATCAAAATAATTCCTAGACTAATTAAAATGTCATTTTATTTTTTAATATATATAATTGTGAAACATTTTAATTCTTATAAATTTAAAGATTTATCAAAATAGTTCATAATCTAAACAAAATGTCAATTTTAGTTCTTTAATACATGTAATTATCAGTTATTTTAGTGTTTGTCATCACTTAGACATAATTGTTCTAACAAACAATTTGACTTAACATATTAAGTGTGTTAATCATATCATGTAACATTTAAGGATAACATGATAAAATAACATGTTTTTACGTTTTTTTTTTCCTCAAAAACCCTTAATTTGGTTTCTAAACAATTAACTAATTAAATAATTGTAAACGTGAAGGACTAAAATAATATTATATTTAAATTATAAGCTATTTTGATGAATTATCAGTTTTCTAAGGACTAAAATAATTGATGAGGAACTAAAATTACGTTTTACTTAGTTTAGAGACTTTTTTAATGAATTTTATAAACATACCAAATTGATATATTACTCCTTTCTTCTCTCTTCGTGACAAAACCCTCGTATCTGAATGAACTTTACGCTTCAGCCCTCGCTCTCTTTACTTGTCCCTTGCTAGCGCCGTAGACAGCAAAGTGTAGTCTCTCTTTCTTGCACAGTCCTTCTCAGCAATGATATGTGTTCCGCACCGACAAAATCGCCCCGTTCCACATGAGCTTTAGAGAATTAAGTTGTGTAGAAGCTTAATGGCTAGACTTCGAAATCTTTTTTTTTAAATTTGTTAGATAAATAACAATTTGGGATGATATTTATTTTATATTTTATGGCTATTCTTTACAGACTCGAATAATCCTACTCTTTTCTAGCCCAACTCACGTTTGCATGACAAGCTATGAATATAACTTCAAATATGCCCTGGTGGGTTGGAGTCAAAAACAAGTAAACCGGACGTTAATCCCTACGACATAGCTCACTATCGCTGCTCGCGTCAATGCGTAAACGAGGCTGTGAACTAGTGTTGTACGTAGTTTGGTTGCTGCTGGTTATGAAACGACAGATAATGGAAGCAATACAAACAAATCGGACTAAGATTTAAGGTTTGATACTTCGGTTAATTTATCAATTTATTCACAACCCATGCACTAAACTAATCCAAACATTGACGACGAGCCAGTTTCCTTCAACGCACTTCAAATGCAAAGCAAAATTTAACCACCAACGAACTTCTTAGCTCTAATGTATTTTTCATTTTACTAAAGAAACGAAAACATGGAAATCAAAATCATTCAGATACTTTTAAAGGATTATGCTACATGATAAATAATAAGTGCTTGTTGGAATAAATATGCCTCTTTAGAAGTTGATGCCATTAAACCAATGAATGACGACCAAAGTTATTAGGGGAAAATCTTGATACTTTAAAATAACTAAATTCAAAACAGCATAGTATCTCAGGCAAACAAGGAACCCAGGATAAAAAAAAGTATAAGAATTAATAACGATAAACTAAGGACACAAGATAAAAGAAGACGATGTCTAACAGCACTAGAGAAAGACATAATTAGCTCAATCCTCATCTTCCTCATCTCCATCTCCACCAGCAGCCTTCTTAGCAGCAGCCCTCATGTTCTTTCTCTTCACCCTTCCAGGGCGTCCACCGCCAAGGGGACTTGTTAATGAGAAGTCAATATGCTTCTGTGAGTCAACCCTCACCATGAAAGATGGAATGTTCACCACTTGCCTACCAACCCTGCCAATCCCAATCACACAAAAAGTCAATTTACAAACTCTATATATCATCCAAATGTGGATTCAACTCGAATAGTATCAATTTTATCAGTAAAAACAAATTAAGGGTCACAGATACTCAATTCAGTTCTTGCAAAACAAAGTTCCTAATATTAGTCCTGAAATTTTGAAAATTCCCTAAAATACTATATCTTCCGTGACTAATGAGGCTATCCTATTCAGTAACTATGATCATTGAACAAACCACATGAGCGGCAACCAACAAAAAAACATCATTTGCTTATTAATTCTGATTGAAAATCAAAAAGCCATACCCTCAATTCATGAACAGCATAACAATTTAAAAGGCGGGAAAAAAGGCAACCCTCAATTCAGTTCTTAAAAACTATAGCGGCCTAATTTTCATAAAATGCACACTTTTCTAATTAGTCCCCAAAAATATTAACTCAAAAACTAACATCATGAGCAACACAACCGGAGCACACAGAGACATAGATAATTGACATAAATAAAGGGGGTTTTAAATTTTATTAAAAGAAACCTGATATGCCTCTGGCGGATGAGAACCCTAGCATGGTGAATAGACTTGGCCATGCCAGATTTAAAGACGAGGGTTTGAAGGCGACGCTCGAGGAAGTTCTCGACAGTGAGTGCCAAGACATAATCGAGCTTGTTCTGAGTCTCATCGAGGAGACCGTAACGGAACATCCTACGGAGCAAAGCCTCACCCTCGAAGATCCTGCGAGGGTTCTTCTCGTCGAGAGTGAGAAGGTTCCTTGCATTGTTACGGATGCGACTGAGGGCGTACTGAACCCTCCACAACTCCCTCTTGCAGCGGAGCCCATACTCTCCAACCAGCTTCAACTCAGCGTCCAAACGCTCCTTCTCGTACGGACGACGCGGCTTCTTGAACGTCTTCCCATCTGTTCATAGAAACAAAAAACACAAAGCAAAACAAGGAGAACGGATCAACCGCGTCGTTTCGCTTAGCCCTTGGAACAGAACAGGATCTGGTCTCAGAGGTACTCACAGTTTCTGTAGAAGGAGACATGCACCATTGTTGTTGTCTTCTACGGCGGTGCCTTCTCTGCTCCCCTGACCTACCTGTGAGTGGATCTTCTCTTTACTTTCGTTTCGCCCTTTTAAATGCGCAAAACCCTAATTCCTTGTTTCCTGTTGTTGAGCTTTTTATTTTTTGGTCCAAGGTTTTTACTTGTTGAGCCAGGCCCACCTTCTCATTCCAGAGAAAATACTGAACCATCAAGGCCCAAATCAAAGTAGCCTTGTGATGGACCATTGGCCCCACTGGAAACTACGATACCCCTTGAGTATTTCAAATAATTATATATTATTAAATTATTTTAAATACAAAAACATATTATAAAATTATTTTTAAATTTAATAAATTAAAGAGAATAAATATTTAATGATGAACATTCTATTGTGTTAAATAGGATTAACAAAAAACAATTAAATGCTTCACATATGAGAATTCTCATTCTCATAGTATAATAATAATAATAAAAAATATCCTAAGAACATTTTCCTTCAAAATAACTTTAAAAATAAAATTACATTTAATAATAACGACTCGTATTTAATATATTGTGATAGATGAATTCTTATTTGTAAAGTTTTAGACTTTTATTTGTGATATTAAAAAAATTAAGTAATGCAAAATTAGAAAGTATTTAGTTTTTTAATAGTTGAATAAATTCAACCCCTAGTGTAGATTTTTCTTACAATTTACTTTATTAAAAATTATATATGTCATTCTTAGTCATTCTTATTTTAAAAATTATACGTGTAGATGAATTCCTTAGTGCCAAGTTTTAGACTTTTATTTATAATTTTAAAAAATAGAGTAATGCAAAATGAGAAAGCATTTATTTTTTAATAGTTCAACAAATTCAACCCATGATATAGCTTCTTCTTACAGTTAAAGTTTGATTTAAGAAAATTAGATGTGTAATTCTTATCCTTTCTTATCGTAAATTTTTAAAATTAACATTGAATAGTAACTATGCATATTTTTTGTAGTTTTAAATTTTTATTATATATTTTTTATCGTAAAATTATAAATTTAAACGTTTTACAGATATTTTTACTTTAATTTTAAATGTTTATAAACTTCACTTAATTAAGTTAAAAAAATAAGCTTCATAGTTAAAAAAAAATTAACAAGACACTTTTCTACATATAAGAGACACATAATTTTTTTCCACATAATAATTCAAATAAACGTTATTTTTAAAATGTCTTCAATAACTTGCAGATGATGCATTTTTTCACTATATTTTTATTTAAAAAGATATGATTAAACTAAGCTTTTTTGTTTGTTAATTGTTATGTTTAGGATCTGTTTGTTAAAAGTCTTGTGAGGAGTATTCTCGAAACAGCCACATGATAAATGCTACAGTCAGTTGATCAGAGTTTACGACACCAATAAGTTTGCAAAATCAATCAAGTTTTAGGATAAATGAACTTCACGAACTCTTTTTCCCTACCAAGTATATTTTGTTGAGGACAAGTTAGGATGTCAATTAATTGGCATTTAACGCTACTAAGTAAGTCACAAACCAAACAAAAATGTAGCTATATAATTGGTCGTAACAGCAAATTGATGCAGAACCAAACCATTCTAAAAATAAAGATATGTTGACATTAATTGCAAAAGTGAGAGACATTATCCCCATCACAATTGTAACTTGCATGAGGTAAAAGCGATGAACTCGACTACTGCAATGTCAAAGGCCACCAACTTATGAAAAGTCTTATGCAATTGTTTTCTTAAAATAAGAGAATGAGTTCAGAGATCTGAATATAACATTGTCATATCTTGAAAAGTCACAAACTTTCTTCTTTCGAGGTTTTAGCTTACGACGGTTTCACTATATTTTTATGCTTAGAAGTGAAAGCAAATACATGACGAGTCGTGTTCATATTTTTTTTTTTTTACTAGATTTTATTTTGTTGACATTTTATAGACTTTGTTCATTACCTTTAGAATTTTGTTGTTGCAGCTGTTTTTACCAATTTAGTTTGTATTCATTTTTGCTAATTCTGTAGTTATCTTTGATTTGATAAATACTGTATATTAAAATAAATAAAATATATTACAGAATTTACTTTTTATGCCATGCAAGTTTTTGTATTATCAACTTTAAAATATGTCTAAAAATTAAACTTTAAAGAAAATGGGAGAAAGAATAAATGTTTTACTTTTTTAATTGATAAATCTATATAATATTTTTAAAATCAGTATATTAATTTATTATTTTACATTAAAAATCTCCAAATTTAAATTTTTTAATTAAAAATGCAAAAATAGTGTAAGCCAAAATGCATGTGGCACATGAGAGTTTTCCTACAGTACACGCATTTAAAAGGGTTGGATAAAAAGAGAGGTAGAGAGTATGGTGAGTTCTTAATAATAGATTATCTCTGAACTACACAATATAGTACAAGATAATTACTAATTAGTGGATGTCTCATGTAAAGCAAGACCTTTAGTCTTCCATCTACTTTTACAAAGTGCCTTGTAATCCATGATTATCTTTCCTTCAACCCACAAATACGTATTTAAAAAGAAACGAATAAATAAAGCTTTACGGCTAAAGATCTTCTATTTTACTGCAAAACATATTACTTTGGCTCTCACCAAAAACCAGGGGCATGGATCCTTTACAGTGAAAGATTTTACTACATTTGGTGCAGTATAAAATATGGCTATTAATTCTATTTAAATGCTTATGTTTGTTAATTTTCTATAAAGTAATTTAAAATTTTAAATTGACTGTGATATTATTCAGTAATCAATTCACCGGAGAAAATCTGAACAAATAAAAAAAATACATTACTTTGAGTCAACTGACTAGTATAAAGTTATTTTATGCTTTTATTCTATAAGGAAAATTATAAGTATGCAATAAGTATTTACGGGTATTATGAAGCATTTATTTCATCAGTTTTTTTTTAAGGTTTTAATGTTAGAATTATCTAATAATTTGTTTCATTAAAATTAATTATTACTTTATTTTTTTTTATAAAAATAAGCTAATTCATTATTCATATAAGGTGTATAAATAAGCTTAATAGTTAATTCAAATGATCAGTTTGTTTAAACTTAGATATTTATAATTGATTAGTGTTGATGGATTAAAATGTAACTTTTAATTCAAAAGGTTCATGATGAAAGTAAATTATAGTTAGTATTTTATATATTTAACTATGTCCTATAAGTAATTATTGACAATTACATACTCACATAAGTTATGATTTAGAAGATGGAACTTTATTAATTGTCACGTATTTTAGAGGTTGAGTGCAATAACTTTTATAACAAAGACTGTTTTTAAGTATGTTTAATACTTTATTATAATGATTATTGATATTTTTAATTAATTTTAGTATTCTAATTTTATATAATTTTATTTGAAGAACTTTTTACTTACCTTTAATATTAGAGTCTAAATTATATGATTTAGAACATATCTGTTTTGTTAATTATTAATTATAAATTATTAAAATTTATATGTGAATATAAGTAGATAATTTTGAATAAAAAAATTAATTAGGAGTTTATTTATATTATGTGGCTATTAGAAACACATTGATTTAAAAGATCTATTTGCCTAAAGGAATGGATTTTTGAACCTAACGTATACTCATAAAGTAGCACACTTTGAAATTTATGAATGAAATTATTGAAAGTATATTGTTTTAGAATATCTGTCTATCCAAAGAGAATATGTTTTTAAATCTATTTATGCTTATTAAATAACTAATTTGAGATTCTAATCTTGATAATCTTGGTTCACACATTATGATTAAAGAAGAATGTGTAATTATGTTGACATCATTAATTTTTTTTATAAGTTTTAGTTTTCCTTGTTACAACTTTATTGATATTTAGTTATAATTTAATATTAAAATATTCTAATATATAATTATTACTTAAGTGTAAAATATATTGAGAATACAGTTGATGATTGAAGAATGATCAATGGGAATGTTTTTTTATGCATTTGCCTATTGACTAAGTCATGATTTTAGAAAAGAGAGAATTGATTTCTATATATGATTTTTTATGAATTGCTACAAGTTACTAACCCCAAACAGGACTATTTGTATTAGTTCATGAAGATTTTTGTAACTTGAGAAATGTTTTTTATCCTTACATGCAATTGCCTACCCAAAATAAGTGGTTGTATGCTTGGGCTGAGAGTTGAAAATGCATAAAGTTATCAACAAATACATTGAGTTAAGAAATTTGTTTGCCTAAGGAGGATAATTTTTTGAATTTAGTGTGTACTCATGGATTAATCCCCTTAAAGTATTGACTTGGGTAAATGACATTGATTTATGCATTTTGTCCAAGGGGATGTACTATTTTACTGGCCTCACTTTAATAGTTTGCTTTCATCTTGAGTTATATCTTGTCTTATAATATATTTTAATGTATATGTTCTTTATCTTGACAATACTTTTTATTTTTTTCTGAACAATGGTTTTGCACTCATTGAAACCTAATTGGATCAAACAATGGCAAATGAAAGTAAGATATAGAATTCTCTTTCAGAATTGTTTATCTTGATTTAGTTTTGCATGAGGATTAGTCTATAACCAATTAGTAATGTGTACTTGAATTAAAGGAACTTTTGGCTCAATGGGATAAGTTTGATAGGTTAAGTCTGGTTGCTATTGTAACACCCTTTTTTTTATTTATTATTTGATAAATTGTTTAATATTGGGTAATGTCAAAATGTGTTTTAATTTGATTTGATGAGTGTTTGATAGAGGCTTGGTGCAGGGGATCTCGCTCAAGCGAGACTGAGAATCTAGAACCACATGATTTTAGAGTAATCTCACTCAGGCAAAAATGGCTCTTGCCAGGCGAGATAGGATAGACTTGGCCTTACTGTCACTCAAGCAAGAAGGTATCTCGCCCAGGTGAGACGAGTCACTCAGGTGATGACTAACAAGAAAAATGACCAACTCTTTGGACCCCTTATCGCTCAAGTGAGAGTGATTCTCGCTCAGACAAGAATATCAGAAAACTAAGAAAAATCCTTCTATTTGATTTTCTCGCCTAAAGGGCTTGCCCAAGCGAGAGAACGCGAGCTGAAGGATATTTAAGGGATTTCCAGCATGAAAAGTTTCATTTTTATTTCAAGTTACGGTTTCTCTGAACTTTCACTTCCTTTCTCACAGAAACCTTCTCCGAACCTTGATCATTTCTCGAATCTTAACTCGAATATCTAATCCGATCGATTCAAGTAAGTTCCTTAGAGCTCTGCTCTTTGAATTTATTTCTATTTTCTATTTCCTTAGAACTCGAATATGATTGTTTTAATTCTTTTCTTTAGCATGAGTAATTAAGTTCATAGCTAGGACTATGGAAACTATCGTTCATGAATTTATGGAATTTTGATATTTGAAGCTAAGTTTAATTTCCATTTTTGTGATTAAATTTTATCTTATTGCGCTGCTTTCTTAATTCTAAATAAATTATATCGTCAGGCGACCATACCTCGATTAATCAATAGATTTATAGGGTAAAACGAGACAAAGGATTAGGTGGACCAAACCAATCTTTCTCTTCTAATCATTATTAAATAAACAAGTTCATAGGCTCCTTAAGCATTCTTAAATTGATGTCTTGCATGACTATTAGGGATGTTAATTTAGAGAAAAGAATATTAATATTGCATGACCATGGTTCAGAACTCCATACAGTTTTGAATTGAAACTAGCACTCATAACCATGGTCCAGAACTCCATACAATTTGGAGGCATGCCTAATGAAGATCCCAATCTCCATTTGACAAAGTTCTTCCCATTGACAGATACCATCAAATACAATGGAGTCTCCAATGATGCTATTCGACTTCGTCTTTTCCCCGTTCTTGGTATCTGAAAAGGTGAATGTTTGGTTCACCTCACTCCCAGCCAACTCCATCACAACTTGGGAAGGCCTCACTCAACAATTCTTAGGAAAATACTTTCCTCCATCAAGGTCCTCAAAACTCATGACGAAGATATGTGGCTTCCAACAATATGAAGCATAATCCTTATTTGAGGCATGGGAGCGATTTGAAGAGTTTTTAAAGAGATGTCCTCATCATGATTTTTCAATGTAGAGACAAGTGCAAATCTTTTATAGTGGCCTATCAATCACCACCAGGGCTACGATTGATGCCGCAGCAGGAGGGTCCCTTATAAGAAAAGATCCAGATGATGCATACAAGCTAATAGATAAGATGGCATCTTCTAGCTTTTAGTGGCACACCGCTGACTCTTACGACATCAAGAGAAAAGAGATCGCCCCAGTTCACCAAGTAGAAAGTAGCAGTTCATTAATGAACCAAATGGCAGCCCTTGCAAAGAAACTAGAATTTTTAATGAAGGCTCAAGACTAACCTGTAATAGCTCATGCAAGCCCAGAATTTAAACAAGAAGAGGCAAACTTTATAAGCAATCACAGTTCGGGGTGGAAGAGTAATTCTCCTAATTCTTGGGGAAAAATGACTTTGGAAGTAAAAATTCAAGTGTTTATCGCCCTCCTCATATGCAAAGTCAGGGAGCAAGACCGGAAGGAAAAGAAGCTCCTAGATCTCAATTCAACTTTCAAGAACAGATAATGCAATATGTGCGTTACTCTGATAAAAGAATGATAGAGCTTGAATCCAAATTGGACCAACATATTGAGAGAACCGATAAGAAGTTTGCAAAGGTCAAATCTGAAATACAAGCCAACTCTTCTAAGATGAGTGCACAATTGGAGCAAATTACGAACCTTCTGAGTCAAAGAGTGATGGGAACATTGCCATCTCAGCCTGAACCTAATCCAAGGGAGCAATGCAATGTCATCACCCTTAGAAGTGAAAAGAAATTACAAGAATCGCAGAACATAGGCACATGCACGCCCATGCTTGTTGAAAAGCATGCCCATGTTGATTCTACATGCACACCCATGCTTATTGATGAGCATGCCCATGCTACAATAGAAGCACGACCGTGCTTATACAAGCACGACCGTGCTTATACAAGCACGCCTATAACAGTGATAAAAGCACGGTCATGCATCACTATGAGCAAGACCGTGCTTCAAGCGAGGAGCCTGAATAAGAAAAGAAGGAAGAACCTATTGTTCAACCAAGGCCCTATGAGCCTAAGATACCTTTCTCACAGTGGCTGCAAGGTAACCTTCCTTATGATGAAGAGTTCCACAAGTTCTTAGACTTATTGGGCAAAGTGCACATCAATATGCTTTTCATTGATGTTATCTCCAAAATGCCCAAATATGCTAAATTTTTAAAGGAGATTTTGACCAATAAAAGAAAGTTGAGAGCACATGAAACTGTGAAGCTCACCCAAGAGTGCTCACTATAGTCCTTAAAAAGCTTTCACCTAAGCTTAAGGACCTAGAGAGTTTTACTATTCCTTGCACAATTGAAAAAATTTACATTGATAAGGCTTTATGTGATTTAGGAGTAAGTATTAATCTTATGCCTTATTCTATTTTCAGGAAGCTTGGAATGCATAAACCTAAGCCGACCTCCATGTCACTTCAGCTGGCAGATAGGTTGATCACATACCCCAAAGGCATAATGGAGAATGTACTTCTAAAAGTTGGGGAGTTTAAATTTCCTGCTGACTTTATGGTACTTGACATGGAGGAAGATGATGATGTCCCCATCATACTAGGGAGATTGTTCTTGGCCACTGCTAGGGCCATCATAGACGTACAAGAAGGGAAGCTCACACTGAGGCTAGATGATGAGGAAGTTGTATTTCAAGTTTTCAATTCTTTCAAGTACTCTTCTAGCCAACAGTCTTGTCACTTTGTAAGCACTGTAGATGTTGTTTCTCCTCCTCCAATTTATGTGAAGCATGGAACCACGAGAAAAAAAACCAAGGAGGAAGCAATATAAGAAGAAGAAAAGACAAAAGGTTAAACCATCCATTAATAAGTCTTCTAATTCAAAGCTTAAATTTTCTTCTCTTTATTCTAATCTCCATCTTATGAATAATTTTTCTGATATAGGTGTTGGGGAGACAAAGCTGCTGGGGAGACAATTGCATATCAAGGGAGCCACCTCTGAGACTCATACCTTTTTTCCACCATGATTTAACAGGAACGTCAAGCTCGTGACGTTAAACAAGCGCTCCCAGTAGGCAACCTGTGTCTTTTATTTTATTTAAATTTTATTTCTTTTTGTTTATTTTAATTTTGCTATTGTTATTTTATTTTTAGAATAAAGAATAATCATATTGAAAGATTGTAAGAACGGAGTTGATTATTCTCGCACATACTTTTGAGCTCTGATATGAAAGCATGCCCGTGCTTATCCTATACATAGTCGTGCATTCAATCGAGTTGTGAGATAAGCTTTACATCATAAGCATGGGCGTGCTTAAGATTTTAGCATGACTGTGCTCCCTCACCCGAAGCCGTCACGCCAAGAATTATTAGGGAACCTCTTTCCTTTTTATTCAATTGCCCTCTTTGCATGCTTTTAATTTGATTGCTTTCAAACATTGAGGACAATGTTTTGCTTTAAGTATGGGAGAGTAGTTCCTGATTATATAATTGTTATTGCATGTTCTTGAGTAAAGTATCTTTTTTTTTTTTATGATAATTTAAAACTTTTTTCCTTATGGAACCCAATTTTTCTAGATAGAAGAGCATGTTAAGTGATTATTATTGGCATTATACTTTCATTTGGAAACTAATAATTAGCTAAGTTCCTTACTTTTATGCTCTACATTAAACTTTAATCCATAGATGTGAGTTTTGAGCCTTAAAGGGGATTCTTATCTTAATCTAATTAATTGTACCCTTTTTCTCACTGTTTTGTGTGATTATCTCCTTAAGATTTGTGCTATAGAACTTGACTTGTAACTGACTTAAGACTTCTCTTTTTAATTGCATGTTTTAATGTGATTGAGGCATAATAGGATTTTTTATTCTTGGCTTTCCACATGTTTGAGATACAACTAGTTGCCCACTTTGAGCTTTATTGATCTTCTTGGTCCCTTGCATTAAATTTATAAAATATTTTGATGACCTTGAGTTTATGAATGAAGCAATTGAGTTGTTGAATTGTTTGATAAATTTTCCTCTATATTTCTCATGTACAAACGGAAAGAAAGAAAAGTATGAAAAAGAAAATGAAAAATAGAAAAAAAAAAGGGTTATATATGATTGAAAGGAGAAAGGAGTAAAGATATTGTTTATATACAAAAATATAAAAATTACTCCAAGAGCTTCATTTGTAAACTTAGGGAATGTTTATAATTTTTATAATTTATTACTCTTTTGTATATCCCCTTCCTTTCATTTATCTCACCTCAATTATTATAACCCCTTGGCCACATTATAACCTGAAAAAGACCTCATAATTTTTTACTTGCATTTAATTTATTTAGTGGAGAGTCGGTTCATAGTCAAGCCTATGATAGTACACTTTTTTCCAGGAGAACTGAGTCATATCTTATTTTGTCCCTTAGTGAGAGAGGAAAGTAGAGTACCTCGATTTGATGTTTGAGTGAAAAGTATGGAAATATAAGATTCTAATTGAGAATCCTTTTGATTGCTTATGCTCAGTGATATTACTCTTGTTAATCTCTTTATCCCCTTCATCTCGGGTTCCTTGTGTGGTATTATGTTTCAAGTTATTATGTTATTCTCTTAACCAGCACTTTGCTCAAGGACAAGCAAACAGATAAGTATGGAGGAGTTGATAAGTCTGTAATTAGACGTTATTTTACAGCCCATATATTCATATTTAACCTTTATTTTATTTGGTTCTCACACTAATTTCTATATTAATTATGCAGTTTGGTATAAAGATGTTGCAATTATACTTTGGGTGTGTTTTGAGCCTAAATTGATAGAAGATTAGAGCTTCGTAGCAGTCAGCATGCCCAGACCCTTTCAACAAGCACGAAGGTGTTTCGAGCCCATGCACAGTCGTGCTTAAGGCCTTGCACGGCCGTGCTCATTTGTGAGAAGCCCAATTATCAAGATTCTTTAGGGTTTTTAAAACCTATTAAAAGAAGATCTTAGAAATCGTAAAGGACAACGTTTTTACATCTAGTCTTTGGCTTTCGGATACACCTCTCATCTCGTCTCTCTTGCACGGGATCCTTGGCACATGCTTGGCGAGACTTGGAGCTTCAAGCGATCGTACTTGAAGACCTGAAACACATCTCATACTCTAGTTTGCTATTTCTTTTGATTATGGCTTTGTTTATGATTGTTTTAGTTCTTTTCTTTAGCATGAGTAACTAAGTCCATAGCTAGGGCTATGAGAACTATTGTTCATGAATTTATGAAATTTTGATATTTGAATCTAAATTTGATTTTCGTTTTGTGATTAGATTTTATCCTATTGTGCTTCTTTCTTAATCCTAATTAATTATATCGTCAGGCGACCGTATCTCAGTTAATTAATAAATCTATAAAGTAAAATGAGACAAAGGATTAGATGGACCAAACCAATCTTTCTCTTTTAATCGTTATTAAATTAACAAGTTCATAGGTTTCTTAAGTTTTCTTAACTTGATGTCTTGCGTGATCATTGGAGATGTTAATTTAGAGAAAAGAATATTAATATTGCATGACCATTGGGTATTAATAGTATTCGTATGAATGGTTGGTAATCACAAGGAAATCGAATTTAGAGTTAAACAGAAAAATAACATAAAGGATTAAATGAGAAAACCCATATGCCCTAGGTTCCTCTCTGATAAGTTTAACCAATACGTGCATTGTATTCCTTACTCTTAGTTTTATAATTAATTTTATAAATTCTTGTTTTTAATTAATCTCGTATCTTTGAAGCTTAAATAATTGAATTAGAAAATTCTTAGTAATTGAAAATCAATCCTTGTGGGACGATATTTCAGAAATTTAATTTAAGAACCCTTTATTACTTCTCGATGGGTACACTTATCCTCCTAACAAAAATGTTTTAATTGTTTCATATTATATTACATGTTTTAAATAAAATTATTTTATTTTTTGTTTCAACACAAATTATTATGTATTTTGGGAATCTTAAATTAAGGGTTTTACAACTATGAGAAGGACTATCCTTAGACATATTTTGAGTAACCTTTTGAAGAATGAGATATTAAAAGAAAAAGAAGAAATAGTAAAGTCAATGAATGTCAAATTTTTAAATTTGATTTAGTAAATCCCATTATGTCATTCAATGAATTTGATGTCTTGTAACCTAAGACTATTGTTCCCCCACTACCTATTCTTATTGTTGTCATTTTGACAATTCTTCTAGTTAAGACTAAAATTCAAACTATTCTAATTGATAATAAATTTAATTTATGTATATATTGTATGGGATTCACAGATTCAAATCTTGGTGGGTACCTTGATGATAAAAAAATCGAGTTTATGATAGGTTTTTATGATGACTAGAGGTGTTATATCCTAGAAGGGTAAGAAACAAACTCTTTTTGTCTCTTATACTATGCTAGCAATGTTTATTGCTTGTTTAGCTATTGCTACTATGTTGTATAGTTGAGAAATTTAGTGACAAGATGATAAATCCACATTTTACTAGTATTTTGGTTTAGTTTTTAGCAGTAAATAAGTAGTTAAATAATCAATAAAACTGAAAATACCATAAAAATTGCATTTATATTCAAAGTTATGTGAATAAATTAGAATTTTAGATTTTATCTAAATTTTGGAATAAATATGCTAAAAAGGTTAATTTTGTGTAGAAGACTGAGCTGAAGGTTTTGAAGTTGAGATCTAAATGAAGAAAGTGGAAGAATTGGGCTTAAAAAGTGAAAAATCAGTTGATGTATGCTGAAAGTTATCACTCTGGGCCCATATTGTCCCATCATCCATCCACAGAGCTCCCCAAGCATGGAAAAACCAACAACTTGTACCAGAGGAAGAGGAAGAAACTGTTACTATTTATAAAGATGAAGACATCAATGATGGAGTAAATGAATGCAAGCATAGACTTATACGAAGATTGGTGATAGAAAAAGCCATAAACCCAAGTTGAATCTTGATGGCAATGTCAAACATCTGGAGACAACCAAAGGGATTTAGAGTGGTGGAAATAACTCCTAAAAGGTACCCATTTTTTTTTTCAAACATGTAAAAGACCTAAGAAGAGTCGTGAAAGGAAATTTGTGGATATTTCATAACTCTTGGCTGCTCTTAAAAGAATGGGAAAGAGAAGTAGCCCTAGAAAAGTTAAGTTTTGAACTAGTTAATCTAAAAATGTAGCTTTGGGGGTTGCCAACACATTGCCTAATGACAAAATTAGGGAGAAAATTAGCCTCTATGATGGGTGAGGTCAAGGAATGCAATATCTATAACCCAAGCCAAGGACAAAAATGTTTTCTCAAAGCCTTAGTCCAACTCGAACTCTTTACTACTCTAAAGAAAAGGGTTAACACAGGGAATTGGAAATATGGCCTCTTATGGGTGGATTTCAAATATGAAAAAATCCTATGTTTTTTCTATTACTGCGACATCATTGGACATGAGGAACAACATTGTGAAACAGCCCAAAATGATGAAGAACAGGAAGAAAAAAATCAAAAGGGCTAAGACCATGGTTGAAGGAAGACATAATAAGGAAACTAGTTCAGGAAGACACGATCAAAGCTACAGCAAAAGACACCAAACAGGGGCAAAGGAAAAAACAAAACCACTTTAAAATGGCAGAAAAACTCATGGAACAACTGGGTGCTCTAACTATCCTAGAACTCATATGGTTCAAACATGAAGCTCACAAAAACCAAGAAAACAAGGAAGATAACCAACCCACAATAGCATCAACTCAAATCACAAGAGGGAGCACTAAAAAAGAACCTACCAAGAATGGCCCGAGGAATAAAGGACTGGTTTTTCAGGGTGAAATAGAGAAAGCCTAGGCAGAAAAGCTCTAATCTAAGCTGGAAACACAAGAGTAGTAGAATTACGAGACTAATTTCACCCAACAAGATGTAGAAGAGGAGGTAGGTCTAAAGAGAAAAGGCTGGAAGCGACATACCACGGAGGGAAAGGAGTCAAAGCACACAAAAGGCATAACTCTCATCATCCTGCCCAAGAGGAAATTTGACGAGGCAAGCAACATGGAGATTGATACTGATGAAAGTGGAACTAAAAATACAAGACCAAGACACATGATCCAAGTAGAGGAGGCTGTTAAATAGCCTCGCCAATAACAATGAAAATCATAAGTTGGAACTGTTGTGGGCTTAGGAACCCATGGACAGTTAGAGCTTTACACAAGCTCATAAAATAAAAAGCCCTCAATCTTGTTTTCCCGATGAAGACAAGGAAGGTTGTTGCTGCACTTCAGAGACTAAGATACTATGGAGGACTGATTAATGTAGTCATTATGGACTATGAAGGGGATGGAAGAAAAAAGAGTAGGGGCCTTGTTGTCTTATAGGACAAGTCAGTGAATGTAAAATTCCTATCTATGTCTAACAAGCATATTGACATAACAATTAAAGTGGAAGAGAGTAATTAGCTGTGGAGAGCTACTGGATTTAATGGCTACCTCAAAAATCAAAACAAGCACAAAAGTTGGCAACTTCTAAATTCTCTTGGCAATGTAACAAACATGCCATGGATGTTGTTTAGGGATTTCAACCAAGTGTTGGGACAATAGGAGAAGCAAGGAGGAAACCCAATAACATATACCCAAATTCAAGGATTCCAAGAGGCTATCCATGTCAATGAGCTCTTAGATTTGGGTTTTGTTGGGCATAGCTTTACCTGGACAAATGGCCAAGCAAGAAACAACAATATTCAGGAGAGACTTGACCAATCCATGGCAACCAAAGCTTGGAAAGAAGCTTTTCCAAAGACTATGTTCCAGCACCTTGAAAGGTACAATTTTGACCATTGCCTGATCTTAGTGGACATTTTTGGTAAGAACGGGAAGAGGAGTAACAGACCCCACATTTTCAGGTTTGAAGAACCATGGCTCCAAAATGGGGATTACGCAAATATGGTGCAAAGATCTAATAGATGATTGCCAAGTCGCTATCAAAACAACTAAGTTTTCTAAAGATTTTGTAGTATAGAGCCAAACTTACGTCGATTCACAAAGACACATTTTCAGTCAAATTCAATTTTAGGTTTTCTTTTTAAAAAATGCAAATAAGGTTATTGAAATTTTGAAAATTGCAATTAGTTAAATTAAATTACAAATATAATTAAAGTGAGTAAAAAAATGAATTAAGAAATATCAATCCACAGAATACTAATTGCGTGTAACTCTGACTATCACAGTATCTGAAGATTTAAATCCACGTTTGAACAATCACCCAATTCAATTATTAATTCAATTGAATAACCTAATTGAATAAAGTTATGAATTAAATCAAATAATCATTTAACCTAATTCGCATTAATTATCAAATTAGAGCATCAATTGAGTCCTAATTTAAAATCTAACAACAGAAAAGTCAATCACGACCACAATAAACAATTCTGAGATTAGAGAGAAAAAGAGAACAAACTTGGAGCAATTAGCGCAGAACTCAAGTCAGAACTACAGCGTTTGGATTCCCGGATTGAACGAGAGGTTTAGCCTTCCATCGAAACGCTTAACTCACGCAAGAATGATAAAAGTTTGAGAGAAAGTAAAAATAAATATTCTTATTTCGGCCTAGTTTCAAAAGCTCAAAGTGTCTAATCCTCTCCAAATTCAGAACCTTATTAGTCTATTTATAGGTTTTGGTTAGGGTAAATTAAGTGGCCAAATACGGGCTTCAATAATATCTAAAAGTCCAAATACAATTATTAAATAACAAGGGTCCAAATGCAATCCTGCAACAATATTCAGTAAATCTGCTTCAATTTTTTATATGAATTTTGAAGCCTTGGATGTGTAGAATTCAATGCAATTAGAATTAGTTAAAAATGATATCTGTAGAAAAAGTTATGGTCAAAAGAGTAGTTAGAGGTCAGAATAACAAAAAATACAAAATTAAACCATTTATTTATAATAGGCCTAATTTATTCAAATAAGTAAAAAATGGTAAAAACTATAAAAATAAAGCATATGAAAAGTGTTTATTAATCAAAATAAAACATTAAATGTAAACATAAAATATGTTATATCAAAGAAACTTGATGATTGGGGAGAGGCAAACTTTGGACTTATTTGAAAGAAAATCAGAAAAAAAAAAAATCCAAAATCAGCTAACTCATCTAAACCAATCACCCCAAACAGAAGAAACCCTGAGGATCCAAAAAGACTTAGAGTAAAACCTTGACATCCACCTCAAGAAGGAGGAAATTTGGTGGAGTTAGAGATCCAGGGCTAACTAGCTCAAGCACAGAGACAGAAATACTAAGTTTTTCCACCAAAAGGCAAACTAAAGAAAGAGAAGAAACTAGGTTCACCTGATTACTGATGATGCGGGGATTCTCTATGAAGATGAAAAGAAGATTGGGGCAATTATGTTTGAATTCTATGTCCAATTATTTTCTGCAGGTTGCACATAAGGTATTGACAGTGTTATTGAGCTTGTTAAAGACAGAGGGACCAGTGACATGAACCACACTTGGAGGCTGAATTTACTAGAGAGGAGATAAACTAGGCATTGAACCAAATGCACCCCACAAAAGCTCCCAGTTCGGATGGCATGCCAGCCCTTTTTTTATCAAAAAAATGTGGCACATTGTTGGAGACGAGGTAAGGAAAACTGTCCTAAACATCCTTAGCTGTGGGGAGAACCCGAAACCACTCAACGAGATCTTCCTTTGTCTCATCCCTAAAACAAACAAGCCAAAACACACTAAAGAGTTCAGACCAATCTCCTAATGAAATGTCATTTTCAAATTGGTTACTAAGGTGATGGCAAACTGGTTGAAACTTATCCTTGTCCAAATTATAGGTGAATTCCAAAGTGCCTTTGTTCCAGGAAGATTGATCTCAGACAATGGCCTTATAGCATTAGAGATATTTGATTATCTAAGAAAGAAAAAGTTTGGCTCAAAAGGCTATATGGGATTGAAGCTTGACATGACAAAAGCCTATGACAGGTTGGAATGGAATTTCCTTCTCCAGGTTTTCAGGAAAATGGAGTTCCTTCATAAATGGGTTGACCTTATATGGAGGTGTGTAAGTACACCTAGTTTCTCTGCCCTTCACAATGGAATCCCTTGCACCAAATTCACCCAATCCCCTTACCTATTCAACCTATACGTTGAAGTTTTCTTAGCAATGCTAATAAGAGCACAGATTCATAGAGCCATTCATGGGATCAAGGTGGCTAGATACACTGAGGAGATATCCTTTCTCTTTTTTGCAGTTGATAGCATAATTTTCAATAGAGCATCTGATTAAGACATCCAAACTCTTAAGAACATTCTTAGATCCTACTAGATGGCTTTGGGGCAGCACATTAACTTGGATAAATCAAAATTATCCTTCAACCAAAATGTCCTAACTATCAAACAGACACTTATTCACGAGTTGATGGAAATTAGAGCAGTTCAAAGGTACTCTAAGTACTTAGGTTACCTACTTTTATAGGGAGGTCAAAGTCTCAGATTTTTTATTTCATTCAACAGTGTGTGTGGAAGAAGCTGAAGGGATGGAAAGAGGTGTGTCTGTCAAAAGTAGGAAAGGAGGTTTAATCAAGGCGATTGCCCAAGCTATCCCAACCTACCTAATGTGATGTTTCCTTCTCCCCAAATCTCTTTCCCACCATATTGAATCTATGATCAATAATTTCTATTAGGGTAGTAAGAATGGTGAAAGGAAAATGCATTGAGTTAGTTGGTCCAAAATTTGCCTATCCAAGGGGGAAGGAGGATTAGGATTCAGGCATTTTGAGGCTTTCAAGGAGGATTGGTGTTCAGGCATTTTGAGGCTTTCAAGTTAGCTCTCCTTGCAAAACAGGGATAGAAACTGGCAAAGCATCCCCAGTCTCTTGTGGCCAAGATCATTGGGCCAAAGTACTACCACAGTAAGTCCTATCTACACTTTGATTGTGGTCAAAACCCAAGCTACACCTGAGCAAGCATTCGAAAAGCCAAATAGGTGAATCAACTGGAAGTGTGTGGAGGATTGGAACAGGACTCTCCACAAGGATTTGGGGAGATCCCTGGCTACCAAACCAGAGTGGTTTCAGGGTCTGGAGCCCTTGTTCAGTAGTGGAGGCTTCAGCCACGGTTAGTGACCTACTACTCCCAAACAACTCAAGATAGAATGTGAGCCTAATTGAACAAATTTTCTACCCTTTTGAGGCTTCCTAAATCCTAACTTTACCCAAATCAACAAATAACTAACCAGATATACTTTTTTGGCAACCAACAAAAGATGGTGATTTCAAAGTGTAGAGTGCTTATTACCTGCCTTAAAAGAGGACAAAATATGAAAACCTTCACCAACCATGACCAAACTATCATATATAAGATGCTTTGGAAGATAAGAGCTTCACCTCGAACCAAGCATTTCATGTGGCAAGCCCTCCACGAATCCCTCCCTACAAACAAAAATCTCCAGCAAAGAGGAATTAGGAATCATACAATTTGCTTGTGATGCTGGGGTAAAGAAAAATCAATGAAACATCTACTTACAGAGTGTGACTAGGTACAATGCCTCTGGTTCTCCTTCCTTTTCAATCTCCATTCAATTTGCTCCCAAAATTAGGCTCTCTCAGACTAGATTAGCAACATGATCATGGCAATTGAACCGAATCGCTAGGCACTCTTCTACATTTGCCTCTAGGGTATTTGGCTCGCACATAACAAATTGGTTTTTGAAGGGAAGGTCGAAGGGCAAGATGAAGTTCTGACCTAATCATTGAGCTTATGGCACGATTTTTTTTCGAATGGCTATGAAGTTGACACACAGACCCACCAACAGGTAGATGAACTGAGTAATGAAGCATGGCAAGCCCCACCTACTAGCCGCGCCAAAATTAATGTTGATGGGACCTGCCACTCAGCAAAGGAAATGCAGTTGTATCATACGAGACAACCAAAATTCTATTATTGGATTAGCCTGCTCCAATGTCCAACGCTCCCTTAGTCCACAAGAGACAGAAGCCCAGGCTTGCAATTAGCCATTGACCTTAACTTGTCAAAGGTTATATTGGAAAGATTCCCTGCAGGTTGCTAAAAACCAAGAAAACTCTAGGAAAATTTTGGTTTAATTATTAAAAATTTTATAGCCTCAATGGTCCCTTTTGATTGTATGTCTATATCGCATGTGAAAAGATCATGGAACTATGTAGCTCATGCACTGGCACAAATAGGCTTCACCACTCCAGACTCAATGTGGATAAGAGGAGCTCCAGACACTATTTGTAATATTTCCCACTTGGACTTGTCCCATTTTTGAATGATAATTCCAAGATCTTTTACCGTAAAAAAAATAAAAATCATTGTCACTATTACTACTTTTATTACAACAATTGTTGTAATTAATATCATTATTGATATTAGGGATAAAAGTTATTTACATTATTTGCACAAATAGACTTAACATATTAATAAATTTTAAGTTTAAACATGACCTCTTATATATCACAAGTTATATTTTAGGCTTCACTTAAATTTTTTAAAAAATTAACATATTAGCCTTTTAACAACTTGTTTTATATTAAGGGCACTTAACAAGCCATCAAACTTGTTTATAAATAGGTAATCTAACCTTATAAATAAGTTTTTGTCTAAATAAATTAATAAGAAAAATTATTGATGTAATAAAATGAGCTTCAATCATAACAAGTCCTCAACAATTTTTTAAATTTATGACTATATCATTTATTAATAGACTAAAAGTATAAAAATTAATTATTTTTTCATAAGAAAAAATTTTCATTTTTTTTCTTGTGAAACAAGTAACAATCTTAGAGTCCAATATAAAATATATTTGTAGAAAATGTCCCCTCAATTAAAGTAAGAGAAAAACAAAAACAGAATTTTTGAAATATTGCCATCAAAATACAAAAAATATTGACAAAAAAATTATAGATATAAAGTCTATTATTAGTTATAATAGAAGAGTCATTCAAGATATTATGTTGGACTTTGTCTAAATACTTGAGTCTAAAATAAGCATAAGATTTTAAATACTTCAGTGCAAAAATAACAAGACTAAACTATAGATAGTTAAACCTTAATATATTAGCAAAATACACTTAATCATAAGTTTACTTACCACCTAAATAGTCATCCTTTGTCACTTATGATTGAATATTGATTTAATCCAAGCAAATAAGAAAAAAAAATTACATTGTACAAATAAAATAATATAATAAAATCAACCACTAAAGTAAACAAGCTCACTAAGTTATAACTTAAAATACAACATCACTCCTTTCATTTTCTACTAAACAGCCTTAACCACATCATTACCATTAATATTAATCTAAGTAAATTGTTTAACCACATCATTACCATTAATATTAATCTAAGTAAATTGAGCACACATTTAATCATAAATTTTATAAACATCCAAAAATAAAAAAGAAATTATAAACCCAACAAAAAAATGCATAAATTCTCTATGCCTAAATAACAAAATTTTAATTAACAAAACAAGTAGAAAGTAGTTTAATATATTGGTGAACATAAAAGGTAGTGATTGGTAAGCACAATAAACAATAATCAATGAGCACATCAAGCAACAAGTACTTGGTTTCACTTTCAACATGTATCAATTAAAAAATGAATAATCTCTAGTGACATTTCCACTAGACTACATCATTATCCATTTAAATTATATTAATATAATTATAAATTTAATTAAATACTATATTTTTATATGCTTTATTAGTTAGATTTTAAATTGCATACCATTGCAGTAGATATGATGACATTTAAGAGAATCTTAGTCCCAACAATCGACATGTACAATAAGTAGTAATTCTAGAACAATTGATGACTAAAGTAACAAGTAGAGGTACAAATGAATGGTTGAATTTTGTGTAAGGGATATTTTTTTTAGTATAAAATAACATGAATATAGGTTTTTAAGAAAAAAGTATACGAATATGTTTTTTTTTATAAAATTGTCAATGGCAGGTTTTAACACAAAAAAAAAAATACACAAAATCGTCAATGACAACTTAAAAAAATTATAACACAAAAATGCCAATGATGACTTTTAAAATAAAAAAATATACTAAAATTATGTTTGCTAGTAAAAAAATCATTGTTGGTGTTTTTCAAAAAGAAAAAATGTCATTTGTATTTTTTAAAAAGTAAAATCACAAATGGCGATTTTTGAATCCCAATCTATGAAAACCTAATCCTCATTCGTAGCAAACTACAAAAGGCCATTGCATTCTTCAGTTTCTTTGTTTGAAGCAAAAATGAGTGCAAGTGTATCAATATATTTTAACGGTGAGATTTACTTATTTTAAAATTACTTTTTAAATGAATGACATATTGTGCTTCAAGAATAACAAACTTAGACCCTACTAGTATTTCAACAACACTAAATATCACCTAAAACCTAATGACATCGACTTTTTACCATCTAGTTTAAAAAGGATTTAATTATCCTATTAGCCTTATATAAACTAACTTCATGTTCAAAAATTGTAATGAAGTCTAACTTTAAAGTGAAATGAAGTTATTGACTAATCTAAAAAATGTTCTACTTCCTGCTCAATTCTATAATTCCAAAATGACAGTTCATAAGGAAAATTAAGAGAAAATTTTAAAAAGCATCTAAAAGACACTAGAGCCTATAATCAGACGTTACCTTCTGTTGATCAGGTTTATGGGAATTAAAAAATTCTATTTCATTTTTATTAAGAGGATTAAGGTCATCTATATCCAATAAGGGGATTTATATAAGGAGGCTTATCAGATTGCTTTTTTGGGTATGTAAATCTTGTCTTTGACTTACTAAATTCATATCTAATAAGTCTGCAATGAAACTTTTTGTATTGAATTCCTTTTGCATCCTATGCATTAAAATAAGAATTTCCTTACTATTGATCTGGATGCTTGTGTCTATAGGATTATGAACTATAGATAAAAAATTTAGATATTTTTTTTGTGATTTGTCTCCTTTTTCCCATATGAGGCTCTCAATCTTTGGTTTATATATAATTTTGAAAGTTTTTTTTAAGTGGACCACTCAAGGGTCTTTCAAGGCTATACCTCTCAGAGTTCCTAGAAACACTTAGGTTCTCCCTTTCCTTAGCCTTTTTTTGTGAACCTATAGGTTCATTAATGACAGGCTCTAAACCATAAGTATTCTCCTTAGTAGAATTTTCTAGGATACCATATTTGGATCCTGACAGAGTTAATTTAATCTTACCATTATTGAGGCTTGATTCACCCACTACCTTAGCTTGACCTATTTTCTTTTAAGGGGTC